AATGTAAAGTTTGGGCTATTTGTGATTGTAAGAAAATTCCAAACCGATAGCACTTATCTCATTGCTAAAAGCATCTGCTTACTTATCTACTCTTTAGACTGTAGCCTTCTTAAAAGTAAGACCTTGTTGGTTGATTCATTCTGTCATAAAATATTTATAAAACAGCCACTATGTGCCAAACTTCCTCCTGGGCTCTGAGGATACAAAAGTAAGCCTTCAAAGAGCTGAATTTTGCACCAAAGAGAGAAGCTAATCTAGTAACTCATCAGTGAAAGGAAGGAAAAGTACATAGAGCTAAGAGAATGTTATAATAGTAGAGAGTATGATCAGAGAGGTCAGCTATGATCTTCCAGAGAGAATGCTACTTGCTGAAATCTGAAAGGTGTGAGGGGCTGGAGTGGGACATATATAGGATCCCATTACAGTCAGTAATCACAGATGGTGCAAATGGCCTGGGCAGATATGAAAATCACACTTTCAAGAAGCAGAGAGAAGACCACTTAAGCTGAGGCATCGTGAGGAAGCAAGAATTCTCTGGGAAACAGGGATGGAGGGGTACACGGGGGCAGACTATGAAACACTAACCAGATTAAATGGCCAGATTAAGAATTCTGATCTTAATTCTAGAGAAATGGGAAGCCACTGGCTACACAAGTGTATATTCAGTTTTAAGATCATTTTTTGCTTTGTCTTGTTTTTTGGAGGGGAGGCGAGAGATATGATGGTTTTGAAACAGTTTAGAAAGGCAGGAGAGAGTTCTGAAAGCAGGGTTAGTATGTTCTAAGAGACATACAGGTGAAAGATACCTGTAGATTGGCTTAGGTTGGGAGTAGTAAAGAGGTAAAAAAATCTTCATTTTTCTATCCTCAAAGCCTAAGAGAATGCTTCACACACAGCAAATATTTACTGAATGAATGCACAAAATGAATGTCATTAAGGCATTTGATTTATTTTCACATGGAAAAACAAAGCCGTTAAGAAGTCCTGTGTCACCATTGCTATTCCTGTTGGGAGTTATGGTTACCAGATTCCACTTCCTCTAAAAATAACTGAAAGCCTTAAATAGGCTATAATAGTAGAAGTTGAGTACTCTCTAATCACCTTAAAATTAGGCAGTTAGACAGTCAGAATTTCCACTTAGCAAAAGTGAGGGAAAATGGAGGCATTAAAAGGAGTATTTTGTTAGTTAACAATGTGTCCCTGAAAATGGCACATGGGGTCCTTATACTGTGTCAACCTGCCTGGGTCTTAGCCAGTCCTAACTGATTTTGCAAAACACAAGAATTTATTTGTTCCAAAATATACCAACTTATAATCTCTAGCAAGCATTTCAGAAGTCAAAAGGGAAGACTACATATAAAACTGTTGCTGTTTAGTTGCTAAATTGTGTCCAACTCTTTGTTGATCTTATGGACTGCAGCAGCTAGGCTCCTCTGTCCATGGGATTTCCCAGAGAAGAATACAGGAGTGGATTGCCATTCTCTTCTCCAGGACATCTTCTCTCTCTACCCAGGGACTGAAACCATGTCTCCTGCATTGGCAGGTGGATCCTTTACCACTGAGCCACCAGGGAAGCCCTATATATAAAACAGATGCTATTTTACTTACTATTTTTTCCATAAAGTATTTTACAGGTATACCAGAACTACTGTTATGCTGGGAATATGACTTGTTCCCCTTCTTAAAAAGTCTACTTTTTTCGAAGATAAAATGAAGTGGTTTAAACACCTGCAAAAGCATATATGAAGCATAAAAGCATGACTCATCTCTTTAATTCTGAGTGTGCTTCAATGTATAGAAAATATTTTAAAGTAGGTAAAAGATAAAGTAAATATAGAAGTCTAAATTTGGGGAATCCTCATTTTATACATCAGAAAAATTTCTGAGCTAGAGATGAATTTTTAGAGATATAATTATAATCTGGTAGCCACACTGGAATAAATATTCCATTGCTGATCAAACTCAGCTCCCCATAATTACCACCATCAGGACAAGAGTTTTGCCGCCTGTTTTTTTTTTTTTTAATGCTTCCTTCTTATCACTAATCCCATCTTCCTGACATGTTTCAGGTTAATGTATTTCTTTCTATATTTTTTTGCTACTTGACACAAGCCCAAGTATTTCTTTGTTAAACTCAACTTTCACTTCTGTCTCACTTTATTCTTAAGTTAGGCCATGAACAATTTTTTGAACTAAATACAGGAAAAACATTTTGATCATTAGTTGGTGTCTCCCAGAACACAGAAAAACATAATGTAAAGATAGGGTGAAAGAAAAAAATAAGAGATTAATATGTCCATATACAAAAGACCACTGTATGTATGCGGTCAGGTCTCTTTTTCACTAGGAAAATCCACAATGGTATAATTGATACATCAAATGGTCAACACTTGGGACTTCCCAGACAGTTCAGTGGTTAAGACTCCATGCTATCACTGCAGGGGGCACAGGTTGATCCCTGGTTGGGTAACAAAGATCCCGCATGCCCCATGACATGGCCAAAAGATAATAAAAGTGTTTTTTTTTTTTAAGTAAATACTTGAATTATACCACTTCTGCTTTGATGTGAAAATGCCTAGATTTTAAAGGCTTCATGGTGCATGTACTTTAAATAGCTAATGCCCTAGTTTAGTCTGTATGTAATTTGATTCATCTAAATATAAGCTGTACGAATAAGACTAAGAATACCTTAGACTTGAAAGTGGTACGATTACAGTTTACAAAGCACTTTAACATCATCATCTGAGATTTTATATATACAATAGATCTCTAAAGTTAGCAGTTATTTTAATCGTTTCAAAATGAAAAAAATAAAATAAATAATGCTCAAGAGAAGTTAAGTCCCTTGTCCAGATCATTCAACTGGTTCAGTTACAAAGAGGGGACTTACATACAGGTTTTCTGATCAAAATCCCCTATTTTCTTCAGGACATCATGTTAATGTCTAAAACCAAGCTATAGCTATAAAATATAAAGTTTACAAGTCTAAGACCTAACATGCTAACATGCTGACAAGGCTATATTATTGTTGAATAATAAAGACTTCTTGACGTTTGTATCGTTTTACAAGCAAATGCCAAAGCAAATTTGAAAAAATAATGTGACATTAATAAAATGCACATTAAAATATGGTTTCCGGATAAAGACACACAGTAGTTCTCCAATAAATTCCTGTTAAAAATAAAAATAGTTGTATTTAAAGGCAAAGGGATATAATATACAATGCCTAGATGAAATATTAGAATCACAGATGAAATGAATGTTAAAATCCAGTTCTCCTCTAATTGTTACAAGTTACAGTATGCATTTATCTTCCATTACTGAGCCCTTAATATATTCAAAGGAAAAAAGGAGATTAAACAACAGGCAAAATTAATACATGATAATGAAAGTCTACATTAGTAGACCAATAGATTAGTTTAAGTATAGTTCCTTTGCAGAGGGTTATAAGTTGCAAAATGGCACGAGGTAGGCTTCTGGGATGCTGAAAATGTTCTATGCCTTGAAGTGAGAAAATGGGCAAATACATGTAAAATTCCATCAAGCTATGCCATCATGCTGCTCTTAAGATCTGTATACTTCACTGTATATACGGAATACCTCAACAAATTTAAAAAGTGAAGTTATAGCAAAATGTAACATTGGAAACCAAGAGGTTAAAATATGTAAGAAGCTAGAGATAAACAACAGAAAGTATTAAGGGGTCCCCACCAGAGGTAGATATAATTAGAAAGTATTCTCTGAAGACAGATGGAGAACTTTTGAATACATAATTATTATGAGAAGGTTAAAGAGTATTGAAAGTTCTGTCTGAATAATTTACATAGAAGTTTTTCTAAGTTGAAGAGAAGTCAAAACAAAAGGTAGTCAACTGGAAATCATTCTGAAAGCAATTTCCCCACTAATTTTGGATAACTGAAATATTAATGCAAAAACCTAGGCAATTTATGGGAACCATATCTTAAGAGTACCCAAATGTTGGATATAATAATATTAGAAACCAAATGCAGCATTAAGTAGTCACATCCAGAAGCTATCATTTCTTAAAAAATGTAAAGAATGTAAAATTATTTGCATATATATATACACACACACACACACACACATACATGTGTACATTTACCTATTTCTCAGTTTATCCATTGTGCCTTTTTTGTGTGTGTGACTTTTACAGTAATAACATAATCCTTAGGCTTTTTTGTGAATGGACTAGGACTTACAAACCTCTATAAATACACTCAGTGTTTTCTTCCTGAAGTCACCACAAGGCTGTCTCAAAATCTAGAGAGCCTTGGGCTAAAATTTACCTTGGCAGTTTACGAAAGCAGATGCAGAAAAGTGTAAAAAATAAACTCTGCCAACTGCTATAGAATCTTAAAGCCCCACTGCCAGGAGAGTCTGTGAAAAGTGAGTGACTGCCCTGCACGGCTATTGGAAAGCAGTGTTTGGGAACATGAACTTCAGCTACATGAATTCTCAGAAATGAACAAAAACTCACTACTGTGGGGTTTGGAGGTACCAGAGAAGTTGCTTTTGGCAAATCCAGGCCTGTCTCTATTATGAAGTTCCAATGTCTGGAATACAGTCAACATGCAAATTTGTAGTCAAGAGCACTGAAAAAGTAAGTGCAATTAAAAACTGTGGATGGGTATTTAATCTATCAGAGATAACCAAACACAAATTCAGAGGCCCAGTTTTGCTTCACCCCTCTGAAATAAAATAAGGTAGAAAGTATCATTTTTATTCATTTGATCTTTAATAATATAAGTTTGTGATTTTCAAGTGTGCTTTGGACTGGTATACAAAGCTACGGTCTTCAATTTTACTATAGGTAATGCTACTTATAAACAACCTTGAGGACCTTACCTTGGCCTATGACGACCATGCATGCAGCCATGCAAACATGCATTCATGCAACATAGCAGCACATAACACAGTGCAAAAATGGCAAAGAAAACCAAGTGATGGCCATGCTAGAATTTGTTTAAGGGTCTCCTTACCAAATAGTGAAATCCTATGCCTGACAAGAACTCCAAGTTTGCAGAATAGGCTGAAGACAAAAGAAAAACAAAAGAGAAAAGGGAAAGGGGGGAGGGAAGGTAGAAAAAACAGGGAGAAATTAAATTCAAATGAAATAAAACAAAAAAAAAAAGAAGAAGAAAAAAAGAAAATAAACAGCTGATATATGAGCCGGAAAAAAGCAACATGATGTCACGCAGAAAGAATCAATTCTCTGAGCAGAATGTGGAGTAAAGGTATTAAATAAAGAGTCTTTGAGTGCATATCTTTAACAAACACGGTTAAAAAAGCACATATTATAAGTAAAAGAACCAAAAAAAATTGAAAGCAAAGCTAATTAATATAAAAGCAATCTATACAAACCCCACAAAAATATAACTACAGAAAACCATAAGGAAAAAAAATTAATTTTATCTGTACCAAAGTACTACTGAAATTCTAGAATTTTTCTCTTTGTTGTTATGGACATTATTTAGCAATGGAAGTATGGTGCTTTGTGCACAAAATGCTACTTTTAGTATGTTTTCTCATTTGAACTTTCCTTCTCCTAGACCTTGACCATTACCCCATACACATATACCAAAGCATCCAGTGAATATCACACAATGAACTAGAAAGAGAATTTAAACAACTTATAATCACTCAAAGAAAAACATTACAGCTGTTATAACTTAAAGGACTTTGAATGCTAATGCATGAGTCAAAAATATATCTCCTCTAGAGTAAGTTCCCAGGTCTTTGTGCCCTTCCTGGCGCTCACCAACAGAAGACTCCAAATAAGGGTGCCCAGCACTCAGCATAGCATGGTGGCACTGCTGTGCACGAATGTTCACATCAGAACCCAGAATCTGGGCAGTACCTGGTTTTGTTCTGTCGTGTCTGTCACCAGGCAGTCTGGTGACTTCCTTGTAGGGTCCTATTTTTAAGAACCTTTCACTTCCATGTTATGACCCCTTCCAAGCATCCCTCAGGATTTAGCTCAGGACATGTTTACTCCAAAAAGCCTTTTCTAACTCCTGGTGCTCCTTTAGCACTCCCAACCCAAGCTCACAGATGTCCCCTCCCAGCCAGCGGCCATCTGCAAATATCTATCATGACACTATCCTCCCATCTTATACCTGACATTATTTTCACATCTATCCACACTTTTCTGAACTCTCAGACAGCACAGGTGTTCCATAGCTAGAACTTACCAAAGCTCTAATTTTGAAAATCCACTTGTATAGCACCACTTACACCCAGCCTGATTTTCCCAGTCATAGTAGCAGTTATGTCCTGACAGCCCTGTCCTCTCTCGCCATCTCTGCCATCACTACCAGGGTACAGATATACATGCTTGGCACTGGGGATATAGACTATGCCATGGAATACAGTGCTGGCAACTGCTCATGGCAGAATAGGAAAAAGGAGACAGAATCACCTTTTTGATGTTGACCGTTTTCACAGTAAGTTTTGCCCATTATTTCTCACTTTAGTAACAATGTGATATAATTTATTGGTAAAAAGTAATTATATAGGGCATAGGGTAGCTTTTCCAAGAAAATATTCATCCACAAGTACTTAAATGACTTTGAAGTCTTAGGAAATCTCTTATCAGTGCAGTGCTCTTTTTTTTTTTCAAACAATGATCTTGTCAAGTAGACCTTAGACACAAGATTCAACCTTGGTCCACTGAGCTGCATTATCTATCTTTAGGCTCTAACTGAAATGAACAAAGACAATAAAACAAAAGCACCTTTCTCCAAGTATCCTCACTCACTGAGCTTTCTCTGTGTTAAGTCAATAAGGATCTGTCTCTGGGACTTTCCTTGTGGTCCAGTGGTTAAGACTCCAACCTTCCACTGTAGGAGGCATGAGTCTGATCCCCAGTTGGGGGACCAAGCAAGGTCCCATATGCCAAGTCACACAGCCCCCCCCCCAAAAAAAACCCACAAGGATATGTCTCCATCTGAAGAGAGAGTTAACATCTTAGAATTGCATACATTTTGGATTATTGGAAACTATTTTAAGTGGTATCTTTTACCTCTTACTCTCTAGTATTAGGGTGAAACATCCTGAGATGATGTTGAATTTGTAATAAGGGTAGCTTTTCCAAGAAAATATTCATCCACAAGTACTTAAATGACTTTGAAGTCTTAGGAAATCTCTTATCAGTGCAGTGCTCTTTTTTTTTTTCAAACAATGATCTTGTCAAGTAGACCTTAGACACAAGATTCAACCTTGGTCCACTGAGCTGCATTATCTATCTTTAGGCTCTAACTGAAATGAACAAAGACAATAAAACAAAAGCACCTTTCTCCAAGTATCCTCACTCACTGAGCTTTCTCTGTGTTAAGTCAATAAGGATCTGTCTCTGGGACTTTCCTTGTGGTCCAGTGGTTAAGACTCCAACCTTCCACTGTAGGAGGCATGAGTCTGATCCCCAGTTGGGGGACCAAGCAAGGTCCCATATGCCAAGTCACACAGCCCCCCCCCCAAAAAAAACCCACAAGGATATGTCTCCATCTGAAGAGAGAGTTAACATCTTAGAATTGCATGCATTTTGGATTATTGGAAACTATTTTAAGTGGTATCTTTTACCTCTTACTCTCTAGTATTAGGGTGAAACATCCTGAGATGATGTTGAATTTGTAATACGTGGATCATGTTGTAACCCGATTAATCTAAACCTGGGATGTTTTGTGATGATGGGAAACAGAATCACTCTGTATCCCAACCCATTGGATCACATTTATGTCTGAGAATCTGTCAGAGAAAAATGACTTCTTATGGTTTCAGCTGTTTCCTAATGCTGTGCTGTTATTAGCTGCTCAGTTGTGTCCAACTCTTTGCGACCCTGTAGACTAAAGTCTGCCGGGCTCCTCCCTCCATAGGGATTCTCCAGGCAAGAACACTGGAGTGGGCTGCCATGCCCTCCTTCATTCCTAACCCTAGTTATTCCTAATTAGTAACAGATGTGTCACCAGAGAGACATACAGATATATGTTGAGTTGGTCAAACAATTCATTCCAATTTTTCAGGACACATCATACAGATGGGAAAACCTGGATGAACTTTTTGGTAAACCCAATGGAAAGCTAGGTCCTCAAAACAGACAAATCATCTCTCTTCCCTTCTGTGCTACCCCCTTTCAGGGTGTAATTCCTGTGTAAACTCCAGGTCTGACTGTTATCAGCGCTAACCTGTAGTTCCTCTAAAGCACTTTCCATAATCCTGTTACTCCCTTCCCTAGACCCTTTGTTACTAACATACTCAAAAATTCAAAATGCATCTGCAGCTTCCTCCCTGACTCTCTGCCTTGTGAGTGTCCTTTCCACCGCTCACGGCTTCTCCTTGAAGTTCTCAATACCCTCCAAATAGTTCATCTAATCATCTCTTTTTCAGGCTCCGTCCTGGAGAGCCCTCCACAGTACTCGCCATCATTAACTACTCACACCTGTGAAACTCTTGCTTCTGTTTTATAGCATTATTTCCCACTTCCTTGCTAATGAATTGCTCTCCCTATTCTTCAAACACCCGCCCCTTAAAACCCTCCAAGTGTAGCAGCTCTCCACGTTTCGGTGTTCAGCCCTCTTGGCTTCTCCCCATTTCTACCTTGGTTTCCTCTTGCTTTCCAAGCTTCAAGCAGTAGATGGGCATAGACTGTCCCCAAATGCATCATTCCTTGCCCGAACCCCCCAAAAACAAAAAACCAATTCCCAACTCCCGCCGGAAAACTCCAGCTAAAATGACCTATTAGCACGCACTTCTTCTTCCAGAAACACCAGTTTAACCAAATTCAACCTCTTCTCAAAACTGTGTTGTGCTGTGCTAAGTTGCTTCATTCATGTCCGACTCTTTGCAACCCCATCAACTGAAGCCCACCAGGCTCCTCAGTCCATGAGATTCTCCAGGCAAGAATACTGGAGTGGGTTGCCATTTCCTCTTCCAGGGGATCTTCCCCACCCAGGGATTGAACACATCCCTCTTACGTCTCCTCCTTTGGCAGGCGAGTTCCTTACCACTAGTGCCAAATCAGTTCAGTCAGTTCAGTCGCACAGTCATGTCCGACTCTCTGTGACCCCATGGACTGCAGCACGCCAGGCCTCCCTGTCCATTACCAACTCCTGGAGCTTATTCAAACTCATGTCCATTAAGTTGGTGATGCCATCCAACCATCTCATCCTCTGTCGTCCCCTTCGCCTCCTGCCCCAGTCCCTCCCAGCATCAGGGTATTTTCCAATGAGTCAACTCTTCGCATGAGGTGGCCAAAGTATTGGAGTTTCAGCTTCAACATCAGTCCCTCCAATGAGCACCCAGGACTGATCTCCTTTAGGATGGACTGGTTGGATCTCCCTGAAGTCCAAGGGACTCTCAAGAGTCTTCTCCAACACCACAGTTCAAAAGCATCAATTCTTCAGCACTCAGCTTTCTTTACAGTCCAACTCACATCCATACATGACCACTGGAAAAATCATAGCCTTGACTAGACGGACCTTTGTTGGCAAAGTAATGTCTTTGCTTTTTAGTATACTGTCTAGGTTGGTCATAGCTTTCCTTCCAAGGAGTAAGTGTCTTTTAATTTCATGGCTGCAGTCACCATCTGCAGTGAGTTTGCTGACCAAAAAAATGAAGTCTGTCACCGTTTCCACTGTTTCCTCAAAACTAGTTCTTCTGAAGTATCTTGCTTTCATTAGTGACACCAGCATTGTTCCAACCACTCAGCACAGAAACTTCAGCCCCGTGTTGGCCTTCTCCTATTTCCCTGCCACAAGACTCATTACTGAGGCGCTCTGGTTTCCTCCTTCTGTGTTTCTCACACCCAGCCTCTTTCTGCATTAAGTCTCCTCTGCATTCCCAGCACTTGATATATGGCTCCATTAACACTCATCCAATGTAGTATACGGCCTAGCTGTATATGTAAGTGTCTACTCGGCTGTACTTCTAAGTTCATTAAAGCTGGGAACTGTGCCCTCGTACCTGTGTGTTTATCCTCAGACCGAGGGTAGCATTTGGTACCCAGCGGGCATTCAGAACACTTGCTGAACAAACCCAAGGGCAACATCACCTACTGGAGGCATCAATCCTGTTACAACAGCCTGCACGCCTGTCACAGCTCTGAATGGCTGCTGTGGTCTCCTAGCTATGCTACTCTTATCAATCCCACTTTTGCTTCCAGGCTGTTCTCAATTCTTCTATTTAAAAAGCATTAATGGCTTCTTAGTGCTCATGAATTATTTTTAAAAAGCAAAATGAAACTTTATTCTGGCAGTTACTATCAATTACAGTGTTCCATAAGGAATCTATACAACCTACATTTTCCCTAAATGACCCAGCTTCTACTTTTTATGCTGTTATTTAGAAAATATTCCTTTCTTAATCTCTGATCTGCACATTTTTTAAAATCACCTTTGACTGTCATGACTTCCAAACACCTCTAAGCCCATCCATACCCATCCAAAGGAGTCCTACTTTATCTGGAATCCCATAGCACTGCTTGGCTTTCTGCTGTTGGAACTATATGTATTTCTATACACTTAGCCACTGCCATAGTACACTCCCGAAGTATGGAGACTCTTGTCTAACACATCGTTGTGGAGAGCAGAGCAAGAAATGCTTGATATATAATTTCTAGTGCCAGAAGGTATTCTAACAACTAATGGGGACAACTTGGTTTGAATTGTGGAAAAGTTAACTTAGACCCACTCAACTACAGCTACACACAGCTATTAAATCATGGCAGTTCTCATTGTGGGTATGAAGCTATTGCTTGTACGTTCACAGTGGCAGGGTCAGTTTTTTTTTAATCTATTTTATTTTATTTTTTTTCTCTTTTTTTACTTATTTTAGTCACTAAAGTGATACTTAGCTGAGGAGGTACAAAATCAGATTTAAAAATTTCAGTGATTCCACTTCAACATACCAAACAAATTGTTTTCATTAATGTGGTAGTGATGTTGGTTATTTTAAAACATAGTTTTATGATTATTAAGGTAAGATTTTTTTTCGTTTTAAAAACTTAGAAAACACATAAAAATAGTAGTACAAAATCTACATGTACTACATAAAGAAAACTACCATTAACATTAAATTTATCCCTTACTACTTTTCTATACCTAAAAATTTAGTTTAAAAAAAAATCCAGATCAATACTATTTGAACATGGATTTTATTTTTTAAATAATTTCCCTAAGTTGTCACATATTTATATCCATCATCATTTTAATGACTGGACAACATGTACCATAATTTGCTTATCATATTTTAATCTATTTTATTCTTTTTTTTTTCTCTTTTTTTACTTATTTTAGTCACTAAAGTAATACTTAGCTGAGGAGGTACAAAATCAGATTTATAAATTTCAGTGATTCCACTTCAACATACCAAACAAATTATTTGTTTTCATTAATGTGGTAGTGATGTTGGTTATTTTAAAACATAGTTTTATGATTATTAAGATTTTTTTCGTTTTAAAAACTTAGAAAACACATAAAAATAGTAGTACAAAATCTACATGTACTACATAAAGAAAACTACTATTAACATTAAATTTATCCCTTACTACTTTTCTATACCTAAAACTTTAGTTTAAAAAAAATCCAGATCAATACTATTTGAACATGTATTTTATTTTTTAAATAATTTCCCTAAGTTGTCACATATTTATATCCATCATCATTTTAATGACTGGACAACATGTACCATAATTTGCTTATCATCACCTTATTCATTTTTCAATTCTGATTTTTTTTTTTCTCTCTCTGAGCTTAAGTTCAACCTATGTTTGCACAAAAGTACTGTGAAGAAATCAGTTACCTTTCCTATTATATCTCTCATTTCTGTGTGTTGGTATTTTAATGGCATATATTCCTTTTGGAAGTGCTCATTGGAGAAGTAAAACTTATCAACCCTCTTTCCAAGAGGTGAAGAAAAATTTGAAGATGAAATCATTAAAAACTGGGGAAGTATTACTATAAGAGCCCCAAACTACATCAATGGAGGCTAGCACAGACTCATGATGTTCTTCTGATTTATTCTATGAGGGATATATTTGGTAAAGGAAAATTAGTTACTTCTATAGTTAGCGAATTATTCTCAGAGTAAGACTAAAACTGAAATGGCGATAAAACACAAAAGGGGAGGGGAAAGAGCAGAATTCACACATTTTTTAAATTTCCCCCCTATATTCTCTAATTATATTGTCTTGATTTATGTAATTGAATGTCATTAAGTTAACACCACCTGTAAGAACAAAGTTTCTGTTACAAAAGGCTATCTGGCCAGAGAAGACTAGGTGACCATGCGGCTGCCTTGGTTTCAGAGTTTAAGGGTGACTTGGAGCACTGGCATTTCTCCAGCTACTGTGTGCACTTAACTGTCCACAGGGGGACATGGGGCCAGCGATGTGGATGAGTGCATGTGTGAAACAAGGCGGGAAGGGTCCCTCTCTCTCCCAGATAAGATGGAAAGAAGGCCAGGCCCAAGTGGGCAAGGGATGAAATCTGCATCTTGGAAAACAGTTCTTCCTTCCCTTTTCTTCTCGTAACACAGCTGGCAGAAACAAAGTAAGTCACTGGGATGGGTTCTCTGTTATCTTCATGAGCTTCACAAGAACCTTATTATTTGAAGAAGTTTGGAAACATTTTTAATGCTGTTGCAATCCTACATCACATAACTGGCTACTTATTGGTTGGAAAAACAGACAATAAACAAACTCAAGAGATGAGCTTAAAATCCCACCCCCAGTGTTACACAACAAAGGAATCTTATTCATTCTTTACCCTCTGGTGACAGGTTATATTCAGTCTCATCTCATTCTGTTCAATAGACTGATACTGCACTGCCATTCAGCATATTATAAAAGCCAAGTCCATGCTATGACTCTAAAACTGCTCTAAAATGTCTTAAAAAAAAAAATAGGTTTGTTTTCCAAGCAAGTTACTGCTGACAAATACATCAACACTGTGAGATAATAAATGCATATTCTTTTAAAAACATTAAACCTGTGATAATTTTGCTAAACAGCAATAGATAAATAAAAAGAAAGTGAAGTCCAAGGAAACCCTGTATTCTGCTTTATACAGGGTACTCATTTTCACAGAAATATTTTTTTCAATACAATCTAAAGCTTGGTATAGACTCCTGAGCAATGTAATACAGAAGCAGGCTTTCTCAGGAATTCTCATGCATCCTAACTTCTGGCAGAATTTTGAGGACTCAGACTTGAAATTGCCAGCAGAATCACAAATCTAAACAATACTTAGGTTTAAACATAAATGAGAAAGCACTGCTAGGATGTGGCTTGAGTGGTGTGAGTGGAAAACCTCAGAAAGTATATATGTTTACATCATTTTATTCCAGGATTGGTCAAAATTTTTTTAACTTAAAATTATAATTACTATAAATGAGATTTTGCCCTCCTGAAAAATACAGGCTGGCAAAAATATTAGATTTGAAAAAATTTTAATGAAACCAATGTTAAGAGCATCATTTACCAAAAATACTAATATACTGATGTATCTCTAGCCTATACTTATGGATTCTGAACTGTGTATTTTATTCCCTCAACTCAGTATTATATTTAGCAGTGAAATATAAGAAAATTCAATACCTAGAACACATGTATTAACTTGCCCAAACCATCATCCTTATAGTATTTGATTCCCAGGGGCCATGCTCCTACTTCAAGATCCTGAGATACTCTTTCTCAAATGCAAATACACTTAAACAATAGTCTTTATTTTTATAGCTGTTTACCTAGTCACCATTTCTTTCTCTTTGTTTGATGCATGTCCTCCAGAACAGAGAGGTCTGCTTGCTGCAGATAAGAAGTATAAACGGTGGTTTTTGAAATACTGATCAATTAAAGGAAGAACGACCTGAAAGAAAGGAAAAGAAAACAGATCTACACAGTGGAATCTTCTGGGGGCCCAATGTGCGCTGAGTCTTTGGCGCAGCCAGAGCTCTGTTCACATGCAGTGAGTCCCCAGCATTCACAGCCATGCTATCAGCACCACCGCAGAGCATCCCTCTCTGATCTCTCCAGTCCGTCAGTGTGTGTGCGGGGGCTGGGGGCGGGGTGCAGGGGCAGGGTTGGGTGGGGTGCCATTATGCAAAACACACTGAATTTTCAGTGTTTGAAATTAGTCTCAATACTTTCTCAAAATGAAACAGTCTTAATATTTTCACACTGCAGTTCAGTGCCCAAAAGATTCAAAGGCAATCAAGGACGACCTTCTATGGAGTCTCTACTATGTCTGAGGACTATAACTGACATGCTATAATTTCATGTATCCCCGTGACCACTTTGTATGGTAGGTGCTATCAGCCCTGTTTTCGAGGCTGAAGATGGAGATGAAGATAAACTGAGGTGAAGAAAGTGAATGATGTACTCAGTCACATCGCCACTTACCGACTTAAAACGTCTTCATCCCTGGCCTTGATCAAAGCCTACCTCTCAGTTCTGCACTCTAATCCTGCTGGCCTTTGTCCAGTTGCCCCCGTCCCCCACCCACAGGCCGTGTACATGCCATGCCCTCTGTCTGAACTGTCCTTCCCACACCCCATAACCGAGTCTCTCCACCCCTCCTGCAGGCCTCAGCGCAGTAGCACTTCACCAGGTAAGCCTTTGCTGGCCTATCAATGACATAAACTCCCCATATCCTCTGGTCCTGTAACATCATTTACGATTTTATATTTTATTTGTGTGATTTTGGATTAGTCTGTCTCCCTAAGAGTCTATAAGGTGCATGAGAAATAAAAACATTTTGGGGATTGTTTAAACCCCTCTCTTGGCCTCTATGATTCCTGCTTGCTCTGTTTCATTTATCACTGACTCTCTCGTGCCTAGGACTTTGCTGCAAGCCTGTAGCAAGTACTAGATATATATTCATTGAATAAATAAATGAAAAAGGTGATAAGAATAGGCATTATCAGTATTTAGACTCTCATCTAAATCCAGTTTTTTCCTACATGGTATATTTTAAATAATATATTTATTATTTTTTAATAATAGGAATACACAAGTTTCCAGTGATCTGTCTAGAAAGTTATGACATTGCCTGAACTTAGCAATTGACATATAATAGGTACTCAATAAATATGTGAATGAATGAATCACAGAGTGAGTAGAAATTAAGCCTCATTAGGCATCTGCAAACAAAATTACTAGGAGTGCTGAGCACACTGTCAGTGGTATACAATGTATTCTAAATGCATGATTAGAGGTCATGAATACAGCATTTCTGATCACTGCTTATCAAGGAGGATTACACCCTAGTAGAATAGATACCTAGCAATGTGCAGCCTAAGACAAACTTCAGATGACTGATACAGACTTTGGGTGCTATACTGAATGGAAAGAAAAGACAGAAGAAATTTCCCTTATAATAAAGAATACAATTCTGAAAACATAATAGAAGCCAAATATTAATCAATCAAAATAACATGCCATTTTACAACTGACCTATAGTTGCCACATGCAAGTACTATGAAAGGAACCTGACAGAAATAATCAGGTCTTCAGGTTAACTAAAACATGTTGTAACTAGGAACGCTTCCCAAGGGAATTCTGTCTTTGTGACACTGAATCTACATCCTTGGAGGCTAACGCAGGACACAGACCAGACACAGTGAGCACTGAGTAAGTGAGGGGACCCAACGTGGAGACTGCAACTCTTCATCTCTTTCCTGGACTGGCTGAAAGGAAGTCAGGAATGCTTCAGACATACAGCAAACTTTTGCTGAATTCATATTAAGTGGAATAAATAAAAATGATTGGCTATTACTCTAACTATGAACAACTGATCCTGTTTGAGCTTCAGTTTTCCTTTTCTGAGCAGGACTCGGGCTCCACAATAAAGATTCTGTAATACAGGTTATAACGTAACCACTGACAAATTAACTCAGGCTTTTCCTCTTTAATGAAAAAATATGCATCTAAAATTTTAAAATCAGAACAATATTCAAATGTTAGGAAGAAGCTATTTCTCCTTTATGTCATATGATGAAGCCAAAAAAAGAAAACTTTGAGTCAGACTTCATAGAGAACAAAGTCATCTGAGGAATACTGTATGGAGAGTAGAACAAGTTATTTTAAGTATGACCAAGGATGCTGGGAGCAAATTTATCCCACATGATTCATGCAGTTATTTTCGTGCCACAGAATATTTACTTAGAAGAGAATTCATATTTGTAGACAAGTGCATTCTGCAAAAAGGCAACCATCTAAAGAGGATATTTGGTAAACAAACATATTGAAGGAAAAACAAGACAGATTGTATACTGTACTTTAGCAAAGAACTTGATTTCTTGTTCATAAGGGAAATGCTCTCCTTTGCTTCTGCTGCCACCATCTGTAGACATGAAGAGTTTTTTAGGTACATGTTGCACTTCAAACACTGCAAAATATTCACCCAAAACGCAAAGTTTAGAACACACTGCTAAATGTGTTACCCTCCTAAACTGGACACAAAGAGAGAAAGGTTAACCTCAGCAGTGTCATTAATGAAAAAAAAGAAAACAAAGATGAAAAATATACCCAAGTCAAAATAAAAAAGCTTTTGAGACAGCCCACACATGTGGTTACAATCACAAACTTGTAACTCTGAGATCTTATTAATATGTACTGAGAAAACTGGAATAAAGTAAAAAGTCCACATTTCTAGCAGTAAAAGCCCACCTTTTCTTTCAGTGAGAAAGAAGCTCAGAGGGGTAAGAAAAGTGAGTAGAAAATAAGCAAACAATATTCATTAGATTTTAACACTAGTCTCCAATAAAGATAGTTACTTCTTGGTGTGACAAAGCTAAAGCTATTAATATTAATATACCAATGGAAAAATTGCAGGAAGCCAGTGCCTATGATGAGGGGGAGGACTACAATTATAATACTAGGTTGGAAAATTAACATTCTGCTAAAGAACAAAGAAGTTCACCAATGTCAAAAGATAATCTCCATAAGCAAAGCAAAAATCCTCAAAGTTTCCCCATGGTATAGAAAATGAGTTCAAGGTTAAGAACTGATTGACCGAATGCAGTTAGCTTAAAAGGTGGCCTTTCCTCATTCCCTCATGCATACAGAAGAGATTTCATGCATACTGAAGAGGCAGTAATAAACTATAATAATCATGATAATATGCAGAACAGATTGGAGAGCTAAGAATTTCAGAACTGGATGTAAGGTTTTAGTAAAATTTGTAAGCAGAGCTGCCATTTTTTATAACAATCAAACTGTCTTTTCCTGGACAAAGTTCTTTTGCCAACAGAAATAAAAACAATTGGAAACAGACTTTAAATTTTTAAAGACACAAATTTGGCATAAGTTTTAGATAACCTAGGTGATATTTTGTAATATGAGACAATAATCTTCCCATGAATAAGTAATAGAAAATTATGTCTTTTTAACATTTATGAATTTCATTTTTTAAATCAACTTGTCACTAAATCTCTCTCAGACATTTGCACAATGGCTGGATCTACCTAAGGGGCTTCTCAAATAAATGTTATTCAGACAGAATTTGTACCTATCTAAATCTAACCATATTTCAAAGCATTACATAGGAAATATTTTTCCATTAATTATACATTTTAATAAAATGCTTATGTAGAAACTGTGAAAAGATCTGGAGAGAGTATGATCTATGATATAACACAAAAATTAGAAAAGGCACATACATATTCTTATTGGCACCATGAGTCTATGTTTAAGAATGACTATATTAAAGATGTGTTGCAAAGGCAATAAAGTGAAAAATAAAAGAAGGTATCATAAAAATTTGGGGTTTTAGTAACAGTGGAAAATGAAAATAAATGACTATACAGACAATCTCAACTCTGTCTAATTCTCTAACAGTGTTCTTATACATAACTTGCTTTGCAGTCACCTGAAAAAGGAATGGCTAACATCAGCAATTACAAACAAACAAACAACAAAAAAAACACCCAATTTTATTGGGTTCTATACTAATCTAACCTTATTTCTCCCCAGAATTCTGTTTATAAGACCTTCTCCTATAGAAAAAAAGAAAGGTGTGAAGTAGGTGAACTCACCCTGTAGTAAGCTTCTCACTACTTCTTATACAGAAACACTGTCCTAGGAGGTTTAGTCAGAAACTTGAATCTAGTATGACTAAAGCCTAAACAAATTTCATCCTTCAAAGTTCTGTTTCTGTTATCCATAGCGAAGCAAAAGAAAGTTTGTTTTTCTTGTTCCCTTCTCCAAATGATCACTCTTTTTTCCCCTCTTCTACTTTCTCTGGTCAAAAAAAAGGCTGGATGCCAGAATTGCTGTTCATTCATATACTATTAAATGTGGATTAGAAATGTCAACATTTAAGTTTATGCATAAAAGCTTCAAAAATTCACCATGGCCTCATACTTGTTCTTTGGCGAAATATCATTCAGAGTAATTTGGCTATTAGTCAGGATGACTACCATATTTTAAAAATATACTGATGGATGACATACAAAGAGATTGCATATTATGGATTAGTTTATATAATTGGTCTTTATGAAAAAGTTGGTTAAGAGATCAAAAATACAGCATTTGTACTATAGGAGGCAGGTTGAGAGAGAGGAAGGTTTTCTAAGAGACTAATGCTCAAACTGAATATCTCTAACCACATCTGGGATCCAGGGACCCAGGAACAAGAAAATATCAGAGCTCAAATTTCTATAAACTTTAATCTGATGCTATGCTGAAAACTAAGCATAAATCCTAAGATAATAGCAGCAAAAAGAGCCCCTGGTTAGGAGGAATCTTTTGCTGATGTATTGCTATGAGACCTAGGACTATGGGCCCCAAGGAAAGGGGCTGAAAACCGAAAGAATGTGGGTTTAAAAAAAAAAAAAATAAAAACAGAAATACAACCTTAAAAGTGGAAAAGAAAATAAGATCACCACCAGCAGAGCACACAGTTTTTCAAAAAGGACAAAACTCTACTCTTTATATCTAATACCAACCAGTGGCTGGAAGGGGATCTGACACGAAGATAAGTCATTAACAACTTGAATTTTAATTCTACAATGCTGAGGACAAACACAAAATAAGAGAAGTGAGAGGAGGCTGTCCTGATGATCTGTTCCAAATCTACAATTTAAATTAATGAGTTCTTTTTGTACTTAAATGTCACTGAGCCAGATGGGGAAGACATCTTCTCTTCTACCCTAAGAGGATAATAAAGTATTCCACATTGCTGATACTCTAGTATAAATGTGTGTTCCTGCAAAGGCTAAACTTGAGGGCTTTCCATTGTCTAGAAATTTGGAGAATCCATAGAATTTTAGTTCCTTTTTTTAAAAGAGCAGAGCAATTAACTTCATAAGGACAGATTTAACTGTACCTTAAAATTTGATGTCCATCCAATGTATCTTTCAAAATGAAAAATCAATGCCAATATACATTTTAAGGAGAAAAAAATTGCATGTTAAAATTTTTTAAAGTTCTCGAAATTTACCTTAAAAATTACTTCATCCTTAAAAAATGAGTTTTCCTATTGACTTTTAGACTCAAGTTAGTATTAGGATGGATATAAAAATGTTTACACCATCAGGGAACAGACCATAAGCATCCCAATGGTCTATGCTGTTCTATATCCTGATGTTGTAAGTAACAAGCGTAACAAAAACTGAGCTGTTAATAGCAGGACCGTGGTACCTACCAAACTCCAGGATATACTGATGGGCTTCATCCACATAGCGAATGAGTTGCTGAAGGAAACTATAGGCAAATCGTTTCTCAATAGAAGGTGTGTCCAGTTCCAGGTCTTTGAACCCTCTAGGATGGCAAAAACAAAAAATGGAAACCAACATCTAAGAGACTATTAGAAGGCAAGGTAAAAACAAAATATATTTTGTTAAATATCTACATACAGAGAGGGATCTTAACATTTTACATACAGCAATATATACATTTATACACAGATATAGATACATTTGCAAGGTTAGCTAATATTTTATAGCTAAAAATAAATTATAAAAAATACTTTGCATCTGATAAGAAGCTGTACTTAACAAATATTACTATACAATAAGATCTTGCATTTAGAAATACAGAGTGGCATTTCTGCCTAGAGATTTTGCCTAAATGATGAATGGGGACTTAACATAAAAAGTGTAGGGAACTCAATTATATGGCAGCTAAGGGCATTAATGTTTCCAACATGTATATTTTGAACACGCTAAATAGCAGCTCTGACATTTAAAAGGCCACAGAGCTCATTTTCAGCATCAAACCTGACAGGGCTGTTTTAATACTGAGTCCTGTAACAGGCACGTGTGACTGGACTAGTGTCTTTTACCTGGACACGGCATAACCACTGATCTGCAGGAACTTGAGGATGTCCTGGGCTTTCTCCCTGTCCTTGGCTTTCTCTTTGGCCGTCAGCGTATCGTAAGGTACCAGCAGGGGATGGTTTCCACCTCCTAAGAGGATGTCAAGATGAGAATACAGCACAGTATTTAGCAAATAATCTGAAATGAGATATGGCTGCATTTGGATCCTCCTAGTAGCTGAGATGTAAAGAATCAGCCTGCAATGCAGGAGCCCTGGGCCCCATCCCTGCGTTGGGAAGAATCCCCTAGAGAAGGGAATGGCTACCCACTCCAGTTCTCTTGCCTGAAGGACAAGAGGAGCCTGGCAGGCTACAGTCCATGGGGTTGCAAAGAGTCAGACACAACAGAGCGACTAACACTTTCACTACTTTCACAACAGAATTTTAACTTTCACTACAGAGTTCCTGGTATCCTCAAATTATACGTAGAATATATGGGACTCATCCAAGACTCTTTCTCACTAGTCCCTTTAATGCTCCAATTAATTTTAGGAAACCTGTTCAAAAAAGACTATGCATATGCCTTCTAAGATGCAACTAAAACATGAACATAAAGACAACTGTAAAATCAAGTGCCAAAGACATCTACAGTCACACAAGAAAGAAAAAGAGGCCACGTTTTCCTTCCCACTCAAATGAACTCTGAATGCAGAGTGCACTATGCACTAAATTTTGCACAGCTGGATCCAGTAAAATTACAAGGCAGGTTTCAAGCGAAATGCTTCATTTTCTAATGCACAGAGGAAAGAGAAAAAAGTGTCGTAAAGTTTCCCTATGCCTCCCAGATCAGGAAGGACTTTATTAACTTGGTTGTTGCTGTTCAGTCACTAAGTCTGGCTCTTTTGTGCTCCGTGGACTGAAGCCTTCCAGGCTCCACTGTCCATGGAATTCTCCAGGCAAGAATACTGGAGTGGGTTGCCATTTCCTTCTTCTGGGGACTTCCTGGTCTAGGGATCAAACCTGGGTCTTCTGCATTGCAGGCAGAGTCTGCCACTGAGCCACAGGGACCTTCTTTGCAGTCACATATTTCTAAACACACAAAACTCAGATTGTTAAGGCACAAGCTGATTGCTGTTAATTACCTAATAAAAGTAGCATATGGAATTGATTGACTTAGAATTCTGGCAAGAATCTAAGCTTCTAGGATATCTCTTCTGATAAAAAATACTAAAAGCTTTCTTTTAGATTTAAAAATTCTGGGAAGCATTTAAATTTTAAAAACCTGACCAAGAGAAAACTATTTATAAAATTATAAATTCTGTAAAAACATTTGCAAAAATCATAAAAATCTCAAAAGATCGCAACCAGATGTAAAGATCTGGTACAAGGAGCACTATTTAAGTAGCAGCAAAAAGAATAGCTTGGTATGTCCCAGATTAAAGGTTTACAAAACACATAGAGGAATATATTTTATGTGGGATGTTGAAATTTCTTGAAATATAACTGCTAAGGAAACTCCAGAATAAAAATAACTGAAATGACTGTTTTGTTCAAATTACAAGGAAACATAAAGCCTGTGAAATGTGTCCAATGGGGTTAAGTCAGGAGTTCCAGAACAATCATAAATGTTGAATCGGCCCTCAAAAAAGAAGCAAACAAAAGGACAAAGGAGAATATGCCATGCTCTCCTAGAGCTTGCTTGGATTGAGTGCCATCTACAGAAATGTAATCACGCAATGAACCTTCTGACCATTAGGTGACACTATGTGATCGCAAATTCAAGGGGCAGTCAGGCGCTACTACACTGACATGAAGCAGATTAAGAAGCCGTCAGTTATTTTACAGTCTGATACAATTATAACTGTCAATAGACTACATCTGTCATATGACAATGCTAATAAACATTCTGTGACCAGCAAGAAGGATATGAAATAAATTACTAAGCCCGCTGAGAACAAATCTGACTTCTAGCATATTTTATGAAAAAATTTATAAAGCAAATATTTAATTTAATCATCCTGCAGTTATGACCTATTTTTGCATGTAGTTCTTTATTCCTAGGGAAACTGCCAACTTAATTTGTAATCCCCAATGATTCAGGGATCAGACAGTAACAGATCATTTTGGGAAAGGTAGAGAGGCAAGGGAGGTGGGGGGGAGGGGGAAAGAGAAAGAGAGACACAGAGACAGGGGGAAAGAGAAAAAAGATTAAATTTTAAAAATCCTAAGGACACAAAGGGCTTCCCTTGCAGCTCGGTTGGTAAAGAATTTGCCTGCAATGCAGGAGACTGGGGTACAATCCCTGGGTCGGAAAGATCCCCTGGAGAGGGAAATGGCAACCCACTCCAGTATTCTTGCCTGGAGAATCCCATGGAAAGAGGAGCCTGGTGGGCTACAGTCCATGGGATCCCAAGAGTCCAACACAACTTAGCAACTAAACCACCACCAAGGACACAAAGAAACTTTGGCCTTAGATAGGGCAGATACTTTAAAGTCAGCCAGCAGACTTGAAATTATGTCCTTTGCTGTGCCACTAGCTAAAGGCAGTGGACCACCCCAATCTGGCCCATTTATAAAATATACTGTATGGAAGGGAAGTAAAGAAACTAGCTACACTTGAGAGGTGAATAAATGTGTAGTAATTTCCAGGACTCTGTCTCAAACATACAGCACCGGCCGAGTGCATTCATTCTTGCTAAAGGGTCAAAACTGCTTGATACCTCTGCTTTTCTTGGCTTCATGACAGATCATCAGAGCCCACAATATGTGGCATCAGGAAGCAAAGAATAACAAGGAATGCTAGCTGTTTCCATTTTTCACTAATTGGGGAGCACAGATAAAATTTCTTGGACTTTCACTCCTTTATTCAAGATATACTCCTTAAACTGCCTGATTTCCCCAAACTCTGTTAAGATTCTTAAAGCAGGTTGGGAAGGCAGAACAAATAACTTGGGGAAGCAGAAGAGGAAACTTTCTCCAGATTTCTCTAAAGTGGATCCGTCTTGTGTACATAGACGTAGGGATGATAAAAAGGGCCCTGGGTGGGGCCAAAACAAAAGTGGGCAGCTTCAACACTGATTTTCTTAATTGCCCAGGTGTCTGAAGGACTAAAGGGGTACTTCAAGTTGTTTCCTTATTCTCTCTCTCTCAAACACACACACACACCCCACCACCACCACCACCACCACCACGCCCTCCCCCAGAGCTACATGCAGTAGGTGACAGGCCCCTTGTACGCTTCCACCCCGATCTTCTTGAAAAAGCAGAGTTGTCAAGACGTGAGCTGGCTTTCTCCAGGAGAGACACAAAGTGGAGAAAAGTCACGTGGAGTTTCTGCCCTAAAACTGTCCACAGTCTCAAGCCTCACTGGCTCCAAGACTCACTTCTCCCTTCCATCAGCCTCAATACTTAAAAGCCAAGATCCAGTGCTCTGCATTTCAACACCTGTCCTCAGTGCCGAAAAACTCACTGTCTCCTTTGAAAGGAGTAAGAACACTGGTTTTGCCACCTCATCTTTTAGCCTTTCCTGTAACTATGATCATCTTTCCACACAGTACAAATCTGAATCAAGACAAGCTGGATGAAGAGGTATGGATGTCTCATTTACAACTGATGCCCTTCAAAGAAAACACTGATGTTAGGGCATTTAATGGCTGGCTCAGAAATTAAAGGGTAATGATGACTTTGTAATGCACTAACTTAGAAGGGAGTACTGAGATAACTGCTTATTACTTTTTTATTTTAATTGGCATATAGTTGCTTTACAATGTTATGTTCATTTCTGCTGTATAATGAAGTGAATCATCTGTGCGTGTGTGTGTATACACACAAATATATATATACACATATACCCTCCCATCCCACCACTCTAGATAAGCACAGGACACCAAGCTAAGCTCCCAGCAGTATACAGCACCTTCTCACTAGTTATCTGTTTTGAAGTGAAGTGAAGTGAAAGTTGCTCAGTCGTGTCCGACTCTTTGTGACATCATGGGCTATATACATAGTCCATGGAATTCTCAAGGACAGAATACTGAAGTGGGTAGCCTTTCCCTTCTCCAAGGGATATTCCCAACTCAGGGACTGAACCCAGGTCTCCCACACTGAGGGAAGATTCTTTACCAGCTGAGCCACAAGGGAAGCCCAGCTATCTATTTTACATATGGTCTAATTAATTACTTTAATCATAACCAAACCATAGTGATTGAAACATACTTAGAAAAGAATAACTAAATTTGTCATGTAATTTGCTCATGGAACAAATAGTAACTTTGTTAACTAGTTACATGGACAATGCCCCTACAAGAACTTTACTAAGTGAAAATACTGTGACTCTGTGACTCTGCTCTCCATCCATCCTTCTATCTATTCATACATCTACCAGTCAACCAAACAGCTGATCATTCATTTTACAAACATTTATACAATGTTTCTAGAAAAATAGGCCTAGCCCTAAGCCAAATTCTGAAAGAGGCAATTTTGGTATATGGAATTCTCTCTGTTCATTCCTATGACCAATTCTAATTTGTGTGATTCTGTTTCCCAGTGCTAAGTGCCTGGTACTATCCTCCAAGGAAACCTATTCCTTTCATTATGAAATATTCTCATCCTTCAAAATGATCTTCCTCCATATTTTTACCTACATCAATAAGTAAGAAATAGAGCTTCCTGGTGTCCAGTGCTATAAAATAAGGATGACAAAAACCATAAAAGTTACAGCCCTGAGCTTGAATTATATTTTCACTGGGGAAAAGAAACCCACATAGAAGCTAATTAAAGAGAACACACACAAACATAAACTATGTGTATAATCTAACATTGAATAAATAACAATGAAAGAGATGATCAGTTACAAGATGCACGTAACTAACAAAATATTTATGCAAATATTACATATTTATTTTCAGAAATATAATTTTCTTAATAAATTAAGAAAAGATTTGAGAAATGACTAAGGGAATATTAGATCATTTTAGTATTCAACAAAAACAGCAGGAAAGGGCAAGCAAAAGCATGTAAGAGGCAGTACACAACTGGACTGAACAAACAACGAGGCTGAGGATAGGAGATACAATGAAATGAGAGAACTATTTAGTCTGGGGTGGAAGTCACTGAAGGAGGTCTAATTAATTAAAAGGATGAGAAATATAGATATCGACAGGCTAAAATGGGCAAGAGAGACCATTTGATGGGCCATCAAAATTCTGAGACATGAGGAACTATATACTAGCAATAAGGAAATCAGAAAATAGCATTTCCACCTTGAATCTATGATAACCATATTTGAACCATTCTAATAAACTGAAGGGTATAACGAGCTCTTGTGCCAAAAAGACTACTTTATCCTTGTACGTTCATGGACTCAACCTCTGGTCATTTTTTAATAAGGATTTTAAAAAATATTACCTTTGGCCTCCAGTTCCAGTTTCTTTTTCTTTGCCCATATATTATGGTAGTTTTCAGCCATCATTTCTGCCATAGCCTTAAACAAACAAAAATTTTGCAACTAAGTTGTACTTTAAAAGGATACTAGAAAAATATAATTTTGGTTTCCAATATGTAATATCAAACATGTTTTAAATGAATAAATTGTCGTGTGTTAGTGCTAAAATACATCTAAAAGAAAATTATTTAGAATTTCTTGTTTATAATCTGAAATTTCAAAGGTTTCTAATGATCTGTGAAATTATAAAGTAGTAAATAGCCAGAGATGATTTGATGGGAAAGGTCATTGTTCCTTGAAACGTTTAAAGACACGTGTTTTATTAATTTAATAATGAAACTTCAAACTAGCTTTGGACTTTAAAAATATGTCTGTTTACAAGTTCTTATTTCAGTTTCTAAAGCTTTACAAGATGGTTAAACCTTACTGAATAAACACTGAACGCAGGGAACATCCAAGGAACAGACGGAATAAATGTCTGTCCCAATCTAGGTGAAACACCTTGGAGCCTCATTAACTTTTTCTGTGGCCTTTGGACTTTGACAAGATTGCCTCTAAGATTCCTTTCACTTAAGACAAGCTTACTATGTCATTTTAACATATTCATACTAGAAAATGACAAAAGGCAAGCCCAAGATTTAATAATCTTTAGATTTTTATCTTTGTATACTTACTTCTCTTGGAATGATACTAACAATGCCAATATCACTGTGTGATCATTATATTGACCTGTCAATTTATGTCCCATGGTAACAAATTTTATCTTTTCACTCAAATCAGGCATTTCGCAGTAGGCTCCTTACTGACAAAAGAGAACTATGGCAGGAGCAAGCAAAATGCTGTCAGTTTGGTTAAATAAACAACTTATAACAGCGGTCTCCAACCTTTTTGGCAACATGGGACTGGTTTCACGGAAGAAATTTTTCTATAGACTGCAGGGGGTTCAGGATGATTTAAACTCAATACATTTACTGTGCACTCTAGTTCTATTATTATTATATCAGCTCCACCTCATATCATCAGGCATTAGATCCCACAGGATGGAGACCCCCGACTTATAACACATATTCTTTCATGAGTAATTAAAGTGGTATTTGAGTAGAGCATTATAAATTACTGATTTAGTTTCTTCTTCTTCTATATAATTATATAATTATTTAATTATATTAGGGTTTTTAAAAATAGATATGATCTTTAAAGAAAATATATTATTTGGAGGAAACACCCTGAAAAGTTGTATCAACTTTTACAGCATTAAAAGCTTAGGGTACATAATCAATAAATTTCATGGACCTTCTCTATGATCAGTACATTCAATAATTCATGCTGCAAAATAATGCAGGAAATCCATGTATACTTTTTAAAAATGAAATTTGCAGAGTATTTTTAAAAATACTTACATGCAGATCTCTGGATAGCGTAACATTGCTCATGTCAATGGCTCGTGGGCTATACCCATGGGCGGCATCTACAGAAACCTAGATAATGCACAAAAAATAACATCTCATGAGAAAACCCAGTGGAGAGAGATTTAAGAGGCACTTTGAAAACATAAGGCAAGCAAATTCTCAAATGTACCACCTCCTCAGATAAAACAGGCTAGTAGCTAAACAAGCTGATTTTGCAAACGTTATCTAGCAGATCAAATTATATATGGGTGTCTGACAATTATTTCTGGTTGAATAATACATCCCAATATCTTAGGGTCTGCCAATCCAGAAAGTTAATGCTCAGGATGCGCACAATTCCGAAATATTACCCAAGTCAAAGGATAATTGATTTCTTGAGTTTCTTACAAATTCTTATCGGCTATGGTGAAATTTACTTCTCCTCACACAATGCTAGCTTATCAGAGGTCAGTATTCATAAATGTCTTTATAGGTCAAACAGCAAAGCCCCAGGAAAGCAACCATTCCAAAGAGGACGGTGACTGGGGATCTTCTTTGGAAACCAAAATTGTGCCTAACACAAAATCTAAAATCAAAAGCATTATCTGCTCCTTGCTACAACCCTGCCCAGTACTAACCTCATTTCGCATACCATACCCAACCTGGTAGCCCAGTCCAGACCCATGGCAACCACTTCTGATTATTCCTCCTCAATTGCTATTATGGATCAGTCACAAAATTCTATCTCTTCTACCACAAAAAACATCTCTGGTATACAACCTCCATATCCATATCCACTGTCTTTGATCTAACTTAGATATTTAATGTTTTTGTTTTGTTTTGTGGAATATATACAACCTCTTTCTAAGGAGTTTCTTTCAGCCTTCTATCTCCTTCTCTGATTTCTTATCTACTCTGTTGTCAGAAATATGCTTCCAAAATATTTATTGTGTTATTCCCTGAGTTATAAGCCTTTCCACAGCACAGTAAAAATCTGCAGGCCTGGGCTAAATCGTATTTGTCTTAGTATTCCCAGAGTCTGGCACAGGCCATCTTTCATCAAATTTAGGATTATAAAATGATTGTCAATCTCACAGATATTGAGATATAGCAATCACATGTCTTACAACTAATAAAAAAGTATTAGACTCTCTGCAACTTTTGTTGAATAAATGAATAAAATAGAGCTGATGTCAATAACTTTATTTGTTCCTAAAATAAAATTCTCAGTATTTAATATCCTCTTAGACCATGTTGCTTATATAACTGAAATGTATATCCTTTTGGTTTTACATTGAATTATTGAGACTGATTTAAAGAATGCAAGTAGACATCTCTTTATTCAGAGAGAGATTCTTTTAAAACTTTTCATCACCTGTTTCTCCTCTTTATATATGCAGAAATCAGCAGACTGGCAAATTTCTTCTATAATCTCAAGTTACCTAGAATACGTACCCATTCAGAATTTAATTTACTCTAGTCTTCTTAGCAATAATAATGACAACCACCATGTGAATGGTTATATGTAAAGCATATAGATTATCTCATTCAAGTTTTAGAACAACTTTGAAAAGGATATTGCTACTTGCCATTTTAAAATGAGAAAGAAAGTGATTCAAAATAATTAAATAATTTTAACCACCATCATGTAAATAGTAAACAGCAGAATCAAGGTTTTAAGTTCATTATATCTGATTCTAAAGCACTTCTCAAATATCTTAAAACGGCCCCCAATGTACTGCCTGATTTGGCTCCTGAGACCTCTCCTCCCATCTTGTTGTTAGTCCCTAGCTCCAACCTTACTGCATTCCTTGTTTTTTCTCACAAACTTCAGGCTACTCCCACACCTCAGAGCATGTGCACAACTTGTCACATTCTTCCCCTGGATATGTCTAACTCTCTCAGCTCTATTCAATTTATCTTCTCCATGAAATCTATTCTGATAACACCATATAAAATTGCAACTCATCCCCACAGGTTATTCAGCTCCCTCCTCTGCACTCACAATCTGACTTTCCATGCTGGTTTCTCTTTCCATAATATTGATCATAGTGTGATATAATATGTAATTTACTTAAATCTGTTCTTTACTTTCCCCATAAGCAGGAAACTCCATGAGGGCAGAGGTGTTTGTCTATTTTGTTCAGGGAACTATCTGAAAGGCTTAGGACAGTGCATGGAACATAGCAGGTGCTCAGGAAATATCTACTGAGAGAATGAATGAATCATTCCCCTGTCCTAGCCTGTATTTTAGTTCAAGATAGGTAACAAAGCACAAGCTGGAATCAAGATTGCCGGGAGAGACATCAATAACCTCAGACATGCAGATGACACCACCCTTATGGCAGAAAGTGAAGAAGAACTAAAGAGCCTCTTGATGAAAGTGAAAGAGGAGAGTGAAAAAGTTGGCTTAAAGCTCAACATTCAGAAAACTAAGATCATGGCATCCAGTCCCATCACTTCATGGCAAATAGATGGGGAAACAATGGAAACAGTGAGAGACTTTATTTTGGGGGGCACCAAAATCACTGCAGATGATGACTGCAGTCATGAAATTAAAAGATGCTTACTCCTTGGAAGAAAAGTTATGACCAACCTAAACAGAATATTAAAATGCAGAGACATTACTTTACCAACAAAGGTCTGTCTAGTCAAAGCTATGGTTTTTCCAATAGTCATGTATGGATGTGAGAATTGGACTGTAAAGAAAGCTGAGCGCCAAAGAATTGATGCTTTTGAATTGTGGTGTTGGAGAAGACTCTTGAGAGTCCCTTGGACAGCAGGTAGATCAAACCAGTTCATCCTAAAGGAAATCAGTCCTGAATATTCATTGGAGGGACTGACACTGAAGCTGAAACTCCAATACCTTGGCCACCTGATGCAAAGAACTGACTCACTTGAAAAGACCCTGATGCTGGGAAAGATTGAAGGCCGGCAGAGAAGGGGACGACAGAGGAGAGATTGAGTCGCATCACCGACTCAATGGATGCGAGTTTGAGTAAACTCCAGGGGTTGGTGATGGACAGGGAGGCCTGGCGTGTTGCGGTCCATGGGGTCACAAAGAGTTGAATACGACTGAGCAACTGAACTGAACTGAGGTAACAAATTTCACCCATCCTCTTCTCCTTCTTAGGATAGAAGCTTATTTTTAGAATTTGTTTAAATAATGTATATTCTACATGCATAATAAAAACTAGATGCAAGAAAATAAAATTGGGGGTAAAAAAATGACTATTAAGAACCTATGGAATACACCTTAAATTGCCAGAAGTGTCCTCCTTTTATGCTGACGTGAGTGACTACCAAGTCAAAATTCACCAGTTTAGCACCTCAGACCTCCCCACTTCTATCAGCATTTTTACACTCATTCTTTTTTATTAAAGTACAGTTGATTTACATAGTTGTACTAATTTTTGCTGCACAGCAGTAATTCAGTCACACACACACATTTATGTATATTCTTTGTTCACATTCTTTTCCATTATAGCTTATCCCAGGATACTGAATATGGTTCCCCACGCCGCACAGTAGGACTGTGCTGTCTATCCATATCCTGTCTGTATATAACAGCTTGCATTTGTTAATGCAAACTCACAGCCCTTTCCTTTCCCACTCCTTCCCCTTGACAACTACAAGTCTATTCTCTATGTCTGCATGTCTGTTTCTGTTTCATAGATAAGTTGATTTGTGTCATATTTTATTGATAGATTCTACATATAGGTATATACTCTATTCTATATCCTATCAAGTTATTGGCTGTGTCTATGACCATATATTATCTTAATATGCAAATTATAAAACTCTAATTGAGCAGTAAATTTCCTGAAATCATGCTTACAATGATCATAATTAGGTCCAATGTTGACTGCAATATATGCTCACCACATTCGTGATTTGTAAGCATTACAATGCAATCCTTACAATAACCTTTTAAATTAGATGCTCTTTGCTGTTTTATTTTTAAAAGGAGAACACTGCAGCATAGGAAGGTTAAGCAGTGTGCCCAGGCTCACAAAAAGCTATCTGCTCCATGGCGAGGCCAGGACTTCAAACCCAGATCTTGCTGAGTTAAATACAGGCCACTTCTGCCTTGCAGACAGAGTGCTGAGTCCCAGCGGAAGGAAATGAAGAATACTGGCTCAGAATCACGTCAAGTGATCTCAATTCATCCAGGTATAATCCTTAATATAAAGTGATGCCATCAAAAGTGTTCCTTAATTTATTCAAGAGTGTACCTATTACATAATAGAAAATATCTTTATAATCACATGGGAAATCAATACTGGAGAGAAGAAAGACATTAAGAAGTTTGGCAAGATGATAACTGAAAAAGATGATAACACTGTAAGGTTAGTAATTAAGAAATGATAATCCATTTTAACATTTCAAGTTATATTGGATCATGTTTAAATAATGTTAGGGTGAAAATAATGACAAGGATTATAAATATATTTCCAGCATTTGCTGCTTTCTGTTTCTGACACCGATAGAAATATTCTTTCCTTTAAACTACTAAAAGTCAAAGTAACACAAACAAGCTCTTTTATTTACCTTTGAAAAAATGCTTCCTGGCATTAAAAATACACAAATAATAATGGTAATCATGAGTTACCATCTACTGAGGTAAACAGATTAAGTAATGTGCCCAGCAGTTTATTTCTACAGAGTGGAGGTCCCAGGATTGAAGTCTACTTCTACAGCTGTCCCTCTTAATCCATACATCTAGCGTAGGCACCTCCTAATATTTTTGAATGAACAGGGGGTTTAACAATATATGTCATATATCACACATGTCACTGAAAATCAGTAAGACTTAAGTGATGGTTATATGGGTATCATACAAAATCATATTTATTGAGGGTTTAACGGGCACTGAAAACTACATTATGAGCTAAGGGGGAAGTAAGGAAGAAAGGAAATAAACACAACATAACATTTTTTAGCACTCTTGAGAAAAGTTTACTTTAATTCAGCAAAACAATTAATTTTCCTGGGGTTAAAGAAAAAGGTAATCCTTTTCTGATGATTGATTGGTTATAGATCATAATTTACAGAGTCTGTGATGACTTTCAATGTTTCAGAATCAGTTTCTTAAATCTGGGGTAAGATTTTATATCTGACATGATCCAGAACCATTTTGGAGCTTGTTATGTTTCATCGTCAGTTACCATTTTGTTTTGTTTTGTTTTTTTCAGGGGTGCTTGCAAAAATATGCAACCCATCAGTTACTTTAATCTTTAGGTGAGCATGGCTAAAACTATAGAATGACCCTTTGCTTCTCTTCCTTTGCTGATATTCTTGAAATATTCTAGCGACAGGACAGGAAGAGGCTACTTAGCAGTGAGCCCTACCCGCTCTGACAGCGCTGGTGAGAAGACGTCCGGCAAAGCCAGCAGCAGAGGATGGGGCAGCCCTCGTGCCGCTGCAGCCCCTCCCCGCCTCCTCTGGGCTGTGCCCCAGCGTGCTATGCGGGCCCAGTTTTTTCTGTCTAAGAAACAGGTCTTTTTTCTTATCTGCCTTCCACCATTTCTACTCTTTAGTACTGGCTCACAGAATTGGGGCCATTATTATTTCAAAGGGCATGCCCTCATTCAACACACACAGTTTTAAATTAGAGCCCATAATTTTTGCTACCAAGAGTGGGGCAGAATCTATGTTTCCTGGCAAAACTTCACATCACTTCCATTATGTAATAATTTCCTTATTTCCTATACAATTTAGAGGGGAAAAAAACACCCAGATAATTCTATTTTCTGCACTCTGAGTACCTTGTATGTACCATTAGCCTAAATCTTATCATTGGAGTACGTTTAACCTGATTGTCTCTAACACCAAACTGTGAGTCTTTTGGAACAGAATCAGATCTTATTATCTTTATATTCCTATGGCCCAGGACTCAGTTTGTGCTCAATATTTGTTTAAACAGATTAAAACAAAATGGAATTTAGTTAGAAATATGTGCAATCATGATATATGCTTTTATGAACTTCTATGTTCATGATACTTAGGAGAATTTTATATAAAATATGCACCTGGGCTACCAGATGGTGCTAGTTGTGAAGAATCTGCCTGCCGATGCAGGAGACACAAGAGACCCAGGTTCGATCCCTGGGTCAGGAAGATCCCCTAGAGCTGGAAATGGCACCCCACTCCAGTACTCTTGCCTGGAAAATTGCATGGGGAGAGGAGTCTGCTGGGCTCCATTCCATGAGGCCACAAAGAGTCGAACATGACTGAGGGGCTGAGCGGAGTAGGCCCAAACCAAAACTTAAATCTGTTTAACGGTGTATTTCAAATGTGAAGCAGGTGAAACACATGCTTTGAGTGTCTTCATTTTCTGCTTTCAAAAATGTTATCAATATAAATGGCAACAAAAAACACAATATTTTGGCTAAACCAAATATAGTGACCCAAACAGTTTGAAAGGGACAATGGTAGGTTTAGCTCCTAGGAGAAATCAAAGAGCCAGCTGGTATTTGGTCAAGGCTAGGTTCTCTTCCAACAACAAAGAGACAACTGTACACATGGATATCACCAGATGGCCAATACCAAAGTAAGATTGATTAAATTCTTTGCAGAAGATGGAGAAGCTCTATATAGTCAACAAAAATAAGACCTGGAGCTGACTGTGGCTCATATCATGAGATCCTTATTAAAAAATTCAGACTTAAATTGAAGAAAGTAGGGAAGATCACTCAGGCCATTCAGGTATCACCTAAATCAAATCCCTTACGATTACACAGTAGAAGTGACAAAGAGATTCAAAGGGTTAGATCTGATAGACAGAGCACCTGAAGAACTATGGATGGAGGTTCATAACACCGGACAGGAGGCAGTGACCAAAACCATTCCAAAGAAAAAGAAATGCAAGAAGGCAAAATGTTTGGTACTTTGCCAACAAAGGTTCATATAATCAAAGATATGGTTTTTCCAGTAGTCAGGTATGGATGTGAGAGTTGGACCATAAAGAAGTTTGAGCACCAAAGAATTGATGCTTTCAAACTGTGGTGCTTGAGAAGACTCTTGAGAGTCTGCTGGACAACAAGGAAATCAACCCAGAATATTCACTGGAAGGACTGATGCTGAAGCTGAAGCTCCAATACTCTGGCCACCTGAGGCAAAGAGCTGACTCACTGAAAAAGACCCTGATGCTGGGAAAGATTGAGGGCAAGAGGAGAAGTGGGAGACAGAGGATGAGATGGTTGGATGGCATCACTGACTCAATGGACATGACTTTGAGCAAACTCTGGGATATAGTGAAGGACAAGGAAGCCTGGTATGGTGCAGTCCATGGGACTGCAAAGAGTTGGACACAACTTAGCAACTGAACAACAAAGGTTCTCAAGGTTGAGGCTGTGCTTACTGTGCCCTCTTGAGCACAGAAGCCCCACGGCCACGCTCTGCTCAGTTGAGTGACTTCGTGACTTGGCCCACTAACAGTGTGCCCTTTCACTCCTGCTCTGCCTGTCCAGTTGTATATCTTCCCTTTCCAAGTACATCCATGGAAGTTTTAGGTCCAGATCACTACTGCCTGACCACTCCACTAGCCCCTAAGAACCAACCTGCAGTTCTTATTGGCAAGGAGACAAAACCTCTATAAACAACCTAATTGTAGGTAAGGAACACATTTATTAATATACCTTTAAGACTTTATCATCAGGTACTCCTTTATATACAGTCAGAAATACAATCTGACAGATAAACTCTAAAGCCTAAGCTTACTTAAAAAAAATGTAGACTTTCTAAACTTTCTATTAGTCTTCAGAATTTTCAAACTAGTTGCTGTGGGAAACACAATAATTAAGTGAAATACTCGAAGTATTTTAAAATGATATAAACATCACTGCGATATTTACCTGACTTGTCTGAGAAATACGACGGGTACGGTTATAAAGGGCCATGCTGTCTCCCTCCCGTGTCCTTTCAATTCTCCATCCCCAAGCCAGCATAGTTTTTAAAGATTCTTTGATTGGCCAGCGATAAATTTCTTTTTCCTAGTAAGAAAAAAAAAGAGAAAAAGATGGCATATGATGAACCTAAATAAAAGTTTAAAATAGTTAATGCTTTCTTCTGAAATATTCTACCTTCACCTAAACATTTTTGATTAGCACTTTTTATTTAAAAATAAAAGTGGAAAGTAAAAATTCTGAAGAGCAGAGTGTGAGCTGAAATCTAGTTTGACTAACGCTGCTAAGAGGGATCCTGGCTTATAATAACATGAGGTTAATTGTCTTTAGTTTCCCTAGAAAGCAGAAACACTATTAGGAAAAAGTTCCAGATTATACATGTGCTTGACGGCTTTTCTACAATCTGAATAAACAGAGAAGTAACTTATTCTATAAGCAGAGAGCCAGAAAATCCTTTACAGTTCATTTGTCAAGATACTTTCCCCCCAAAGAAGTAAAATACATGAAAACACGAATAATAAAAATATTAATACGTATTACCTCATTATAACCTAACAAAAGACTCTTTAGATTGATAAGAATATTTTCTAAAGTTCTTAAAAATATAGAAGAGGAATAAAAACTTTTTAAAAAGCAGAAAAATATTACATAAAAAGGAGAATAACCAGTAAAATACTGAAAGGAAATGGGAAAGAAGAAAAAGGCAAGACAAAAAACTTTAAAAAGTAGACCTATGAGAAAAGGTAAAAATAGTATGTATAAAGAAGACATTTTAATAAGAAATTCACATAGCAAAAACTTCCACCCCCAAATTAAAACTATGTAAACTTAAAAAAAAGTCACCTTTTCAGATAACAGTTTATATGGCTTCATTAATGGTTGAACTTTAGATGAGTCTGAATATATTTCTCCATAAATCCATCCATTTGCCAACTAAAAAAAAAATCAAAATTGTTTTACATGCATTAATTTTAGAGTGTAGTTGTGCATGTGTTTAAGTATGTACTTAATAAATCTAAAATCTACCAAGATAAGCATTAAGGTTTGAACTTTTGTCCAGTATAAGTCAATATAAAGATTTTCGTCCTAGTCAATATTATTTTGAGTAATCACTGGGAACAATTTTTTGTCTGTTTCTCAGACCAATTTTTTGTTTGTTTGTTTCCCTGCAGCCTCTACAGGGAAAGTAGAGAGTCGTAACAACTGGACCACCAGGAAATTTCCTAGAACACATTTTATTTCTGCAGAGACGAAAAGCATCCAGCCTTCCTTAGACAGATCTGTGATTATGTTAATTGCCCTCCCCTAGGAGGAAGCTATAGGCTGCACAGCCAATGTGATATTCATTTTAGCTTATCAGGTTTAACTTAGGACCTCAACCTGTGACACATGTATGTGAGACACTCATTTTAATCTGAAGCAGCTGTTTAATTTGGAAGCCTCCCTAAATAATGCTATTTGTTTTGCTACTCCTATGTTCAATGACCTCATTGACACATTTGTCCCACATGCTTTTGCCCGTATAATTTGGCACACTTCACTGTTTCCCTGTATCATATCATGTATGTCTATGGAATCTGAGTAATTAGGCTGAAACAGCTCAGGACCACTTTCCTGTAAACTTCCTCTCCATCACCACCCCTATCAGCTTAGTACCTAATAGTCTTTAAATAGGGCAGATACTTCAATCTTACTGACTTACCTGCTGCTGCTGCTGCTACTGCTAAGTTGCTTCAGTCGTGTCTGACTCTGTGCAACCCCAGAGACGGCAGCCCACCAGGCTCCCCCGTCCCTGGGATTCTCCAGGCAAGAACACTGGAGTGGGTTGCCATTTCCTTCTCCAATGCATGAAAGGAAAAGTGAAACTGAAGTCGCTCAGTCATGTCCGACTCTTAGCGACCCCATAGACTGCAGCCCACCAGGCTCCTCCGTGCATGGGATTTTCCAGGCAAGAGTACTGGAGTGGGGTGCCATTGCCTTCTCCGG